TATCAGATTATTGTTCTGAGACAAGTACTGTATATACTTGAGTGTACGCCGACCTGAATTCAGCCGAGTCACCCAATTTTACAAAAACTGCATTTAACAAGGTGCTGAAAAACTCTTATACACGAGTACACACGGTAGTTAAAAACAGTAGTTTCAAACCAGTTTTTAGTATTTTCTTGAATGAAATATTTCACATACCATTACATTAGCATGATTTTCACATTAAAAACAATTTAGACATTTAAGAAAATAGTAAGTTCATAATATTCCAAAAGTGTACTCATGATGTTGATAGTCTATTGTTATGATGATTCATTTATCAAGTGTTGATGTTACAGAAAAACATAAGAGCTAGACTACGTAAGTGCTGGTTATTTACACACACACACACACACACACACACACACACCTTTGTGTTCCCAGGATCTCATTAGCCATCTTGTAAGTCCTCTAAGTATTGACTTTCCAAGAACAAAAAATAGAACAATGGAGCTCATTTCCCCTGTAAAAATTAATTTGGCTTTAATGTGATTAAAGCAGGATATGTGACATCAGAACCAAAGACTGTAGGAAAAACTTATCTAAGTACTCTTCTAGTAGATGAACAGCTATAACAAAGTAAGTCTTAATGAAACGGAATATACATTCACATCGCTTCTTGGCCTTTTGGCTAAGATCGGGTGTGAATGTACATTCACATAAGCCACAGCGCTTCAGTTCCTAGTTCAGATACCTTACTCCAGAAGCTAAAATCCCACAGCGGCAGCACACATCACCCCTGGACAAAATCAAGGATTGAACTATAGCAACCCTCAATAAGCTGACCAATTTAAAGGGGTTAGCAGGCATAATTGATGTTTACTAACCATTTCAAATGCTTATGTTGAAAGTTTTCAGTTTAAAGAGGAAAAAAAAAAGCATGACAGATAAGAAGTCCAAATACTTTTCTTATCCCAATGAGCAGGGCAATTACTCGAAGGAGCAAAACCACGAAGTTTAGGAAACCAACAGACTGGATGTAGCTGTATGCTGTAGAGTTGACTTGGACTCCCAGTGACCTGGGGGGTCAAGAACAACTGCCTTATAGTTTCCACGGCTGTGGATCTTCATGGAGGCAGACAACGTTTTCTCTTGGGAGCTGCTGGAGGGGCAAACTCTTAACCTCTGGTAGCTCTTGAGTTCACCTGCTTCCATAGGGTTTTCAAGACTGTAAACGGTTATGGTAGCAGACTGCCATCTCTCTCCCACGGGGCTGTCAGTGGATTGAAACCGACCACCTTTCAGTTAGCAGTGTACTGCTTACCTTACAATAGATTGAACCACAGTGCAAACTCACTGCCATCAAGCCGATTTCTGACTCACAGTGACACTGTAGCAGAGTAGAACTGCCATTCTGGGTTTCAAAGGCTGTAGTCTTTAAGGGGGCAGATGGCCTCACCTTTCTCCTGGGTTTGAACTGACTTTGTGGTTAGCAGCCTAAACCACAATCTATGGTGCTGACTGCCATCAAGCTAATTTTGATTGACAGTGACCCTTTCTGGGGTCACTTTCCAAGGCTGTACATCTTCACAGGTACAGCCAGCCTGATTATTCTCCGGAGGCATGCTAGGTGACTTTGAGCCACCAGGAAAGTCAGGTAAAACCCACTGTTTGCAGTAAGGACACTTTGTTACTTACCAGAGCTAGTTAGGAAGGAGATGATCAACTAGTGATATATTCCAGAGAAAGAGTGAAGGTGTGCAGGGAAAGCTGAAATGAGATCTTTTGAGTCTTCCCCAAATCTTTGATCACTGAGCAGGAACTGCTCAAAGTTGACAGGGAAATAGCAGTTGCCCCTGGGCTCACGGGGGAAAGAAGGATCTGTGGTCACGTCTGGGTGTACAGGGGAGACACTGCCTCCTTAGTGCAGGGGTGGAAGCTTGGGGTGCCCAGGGCAAGGGCCCGACAAAAACTTTGGTCTTTGAAACCTTGAACTGTGAGAAGTTGTCTGTATAGCAAAAGGTATAGACTCGAGTTTGTCTTTGGAGTAGGCGTTTCCCTTTGTAATGACACCACCAGTGTAAAGGGCCCTTTAGTTACACTGAGCTTGAAGCGAGTTCTCACCAGACCGTGTTTTGGGGGGAACCTGACGCAATTCATCTGAAGGCAGGCAGTCAAGACACAGACCGAGCAGACAAATGTTCCGGTGTATAAGGGGCTGTGTAGTTTAGTCACACCACTTGGCATTAGAGTTAATGTGCCTGCCTAAATGCAATAGCTGTGAGTTCCGCTGCATTTTGAGTGAATGTCTTAACAAATGAAAATACATTATGATGTTTTAAAGTCAGAACACTTTATAAAAGGCTAAAGAAGCAGAAGTCATGATTGTGGAAACTCCAAAAGGCAGATAACATGAACCAGTTAGAATTTTCCACTGAAGTCCATTTCACCCACCTAAGCAGACATGTCTCCATAGAAAAGCATGTGAACTGGCGAATGGGTTAGGACTCATCAGTACTTTTAGGGTTTTTGTCCCTTCCACAAAACTCATGGTGGTTTCCTAGTATTTGATTAGTACTTGATAGAATGATGTGAGGTTCAGTTTGGTGGGAGAGATTGTAGTTGATCTTAAAAATTAAATCCCTGAGAAATGAGTATGCTATTCAAAGTGGATTGTGTCTCAACACACACCACGATGTGATAGACAGGGACTAGCTACAGGCTTCCACATCTCTGTCCTCCAGACTGGTGAAAGGAAGGACGTCCAGGCTCTTCAGCTTCGCTTCAGCATTATCCGTAAACTCCCGGGAGGCTTTCTGCAGAGGAAGCCGTGGCGGGCCCATCGGAATCCCGGAGACGAGGGTCATGATGGCTTTGTTCTGCGACACTCCAAACCCTAGGTGTGGAAAAGAAATGTGGCGATGTCGGAAATCAGGCATAAACTGCTGCTGGCTGAATGAGGCAGGGCTTAACTATACGCAAGTTTGCTTGCGCGAATCTGCAAAGCCCCTGGGCAATGACTACTTGAGGTGGCTTATGACCCGGTGCCACTGTTATGAAACTGGTGCAGGAATGCACCGTGAAGCCTCGGCTCCAGGCAAGGTGGGAGCTGTTATAATTCAGCTTCTCTGGGAAATCTGCAGCTAGCCATCTATGCAAAGCAGAACATCAGGCCCGAGCCCACTGGTTTCCAAATGGAAATGCAATGACACAACTTCTGCCAGGGCTGTGGGTAGAATAAGATCTGTTGAAAGCAAGCCCAA